CTGGAGTGTCCACCTTTTCGCCGCGCCTTCGCTGTGCTTCCAAGCCTGCTAGCCCAATCTCCCTTGATCAGCTAGCGCGCCCCGCCTCTCGTCTCCAACCCCGAGTATAAAAGGACTGTCATTTCGTTGTTCGTGGCGCATTCTGCTGTTGCTCGTATACAGGCCAGGCTCGCCTCCGCGCTGAGTACCAGTGCTCGTATGATCGCGATAATTGATAGAGCCGAGTGAAACCATGTGAAGAGTTGTGTGTGTTTTTGGTTTTCTAGCGTAAAGCTAAGTGCAGCTCTGTTTGCGATCTGGTGTTTTGTTGGTTTGCTTTTCTTTTGTTATTTGCTTGTGTCCTTTTGTGTTAATTCCGTTATTGGGTGGCTTTGTTTTTCGTGTGCCGCCTCCCTTTTTGTTTACCCTGTTTACTTTTGTTAATAAATAACCTTATTTAACCCTTTACATCGTGGGTTTTATGTTACTTCCCTTTCCCCTAACGAGCTGGTTGTAACAAACAGGAAATGTGTTTGTGACTCTTCAGCTCTGTCTCCTCTCACAGGGAGAAGATGATCTGCTGCATCCTGCTGCTCCTCACACTGACCTCCTGTGTCTGTGGTTAGTTTACTCCTTCACTTTAGAAAGTGTATATATGACATCCCAAAAACCCATCCATCCTGGCCACACGTATAAAAAGTAATGCAGAGCCAGTGTTTTTATTTAATGAGGGAACAGGGCTACATGAGTGCAAACTAAATGTTGACAGGGTTTAAATAAAGTTTTCACATTTAAACTCACTTTAAGAGTATTTGATGGAAGTCTGTGGTGCATGTTCAGCGTCTGACTCATTTCTTCAAAATCATCACAAACCTCACAAACCTCAAAAACCTTCTTCCTGAAGTGAAACCTCAAAAACCTTCTTCCTGAAGTGTTGTAAATCAGCTCTGAATGAAACCACTGCCTCAAGTCAGAAGTCAGAAAGTCAGAAGTCAGAAAGCGGAACTCTGTGTTCAGATCGCAACGCAGAAGGAGCGGAGAGCAGAGAGCAGAGACACAGTTTCGAGGCTCGAGGCTCGAACTCCAGAGAGGTAGGTTTGTGACTGTATATTGTTGAGAGGAGATGATGATATCCCTCTCTGACCTGTCGTCCTGGCTCCGCCTTGCCGTAGCATGTTGTGGATGTGGGAACACTGGTCTAGGAGCTGTTTCTCTGTCAGCCTGGATGCTGGGTTTCAGATCATCCATATATCCCACATCATGTAGCCCTTCTCACTGGGATTACCTATGTTTTGTTCCATCAGCTCATTTCTCAGAGCAACATCCGATCTCACCAAGTAGCACCAAGTAGTAGTAGTAGCACCAACCTTGCTTAAGGGTTGATATAACCACAAGGGTCCACACTGGATCTCCTGTGCCAAAGTCAGTAGTGTCGACCACTGAGCTGAACTGACTCTTGTTACCTGAGGTATTGAGTATTTCTAATCTATATATAATCCTGGTCCTGATTGTGTGCGTGTGTGTACGTGTGTGTGCGTGCGTGTGTGTGTGCTCTGAGCTCAGATGAGGTTCCAACTCTTCTCTCACTCTTTCTCCTCTGTTACGTTATCAAACAACGGCCCACATATCATGACAGGATTATATATAAGATTAGGACATGTACTTTCTCACATCATGTACTGCTCTTGAGGTAGTCTGAGATACATGTTCTTAGGGTCACTGCCTTCGAGTTGAGCGAGAGCTCGACAAGCCGTATGGATTACTTCTGCAAGTATGAGAGTCCGAAGCTCTTATGGTTGAGTGATAATTTTTTAACAATCTACCATGATCATTAGCTGGTTACAAGGCTCTAGGTTATAGTTTTCACTTAAGCAGCCTGGTTAACACTGAGTTTGGCTTGTGAAATTAACCCTACTTACTACTTGGTTGCTACTTGGTGAGATCGGGATTGTTTTGCTGTCTGAGAATAGCCTTGCATGGGAACAAAAACTAGTGAGGTAGTGGTTCCCCAGTGA